CACACAAGTTTGTTTGAACATCTGTCTTCTGTCGAGTCGGACTGTTGCTTCAACACTGACTGGCAGCAGCTTTCCAGGACAGGAGTCTATCCTAGCCTTACTTGGAGGTGCTGGGGATTGCTGAATATAAAGCATGTGCTCTGCCACTGAGCTGTAACCTTTTACCCAAACTTTCTGTAAGGATTTGGGTGCCTTTGATTTTATGGGCCAGGGGTGGAGTCTGCTGACCCATTCGTATCCCTCCTCCCGCCATGTAAACCCTGGTTAAAATGCCTATATAGATTTTTAAAACAATCTGGTAAATTGAGTTCTTCCAGGTTTCTCTCTTTCCCCCTACATTACAGGTTTTTTAAAAGGTTCTGATGTAAAAATAGATATGCAAATGGTTTTTATCAAATATGGGTGCCCTAATTTTATTTAAGCATAAAACAGTGTTTATTTTCTATATTTGAAAAACGTATGGTGACTTTAGATTGGATTTAACTTCATCTTGCTAATGAGTTCACTAGACATGCCTCTTTCCTACTGTATAATACTTAGTCCTGAGCCATTTTAGGATGAAAGAAGAAGCAAAGATCATGATCTGTGCAGATAACATCTTACCAGTAGCCTGGGTACATTACAGGCTGAACAAGTTTACTGTCGAGAGGTATTCATCTAATCCTTGTGATTGTTTCAGAGTACGGTCAAATTTAATGAGTGCCCTACTTAGTATATCTGGTTTCTAATTTAATATTTAAAAGGCAGAGAAAGTACTAGTTGCATCCTCCTGGCAATAAAGTAGGTCTCCCATGTGTAAGCTTTCGTAATGTCCCAGATTTCAACAGAATTACAAAAGTTATCAGAAAGTGCCTTTTGGATATATAACGCTGGTAAGTTTATTCACATACCTGTCAATAAAATTTGCTGTAAAACTTCTGCCTAAGTTGAATTCATGCTACTAGTGCAAATACTTTATTGGATTTAGAAGTACTGTAATAAATTGCCTAAAATTGTGAAGTAATTTGTTCACTACTCAAGTGTTTCAGCTGATGACCTTACTGGAGTGCTAAAATGTATTTGATTACTCATGTCACAGTTTCATTTTGAAGAGATATTGTTAAAATACCAACACTATTCTAAAATAGTGGCTACAGGCTATGTTGTGAATTTTTTCCCCCTAATCATCATTCTAATGCTACATAATGTAATGGTACATAATGGTAAAATGAATAGAATATCATTTTAACGTGCCTCAAAGTGTATGCTGGGAAGGACTGTTTTCGTTAAAACTTTAGAAGCTGTTTGGGTCTTCGTATTGCTTGACTTAGGAGCATGTTTTAGACCAGCCATGTTGTACTTCAGGCCCCTGCACCTAAATAGGCCTGTGAAGTGGATTTGAAAAAAACCTACCAAGTCCAACTGTTCCATCACCTGACATTCATATGACATCAGGTGCTGTAGTGGTGGTGTCTCTGTGCCTAATTCCAAAAGGAAAATTGGGAGCGCAAAGAAGAATTCGGAGGGCATTTAGAGTACATTCCTGATTCTTCTTTTGCATCCAGGGTTTAAATTTGAATCACCTGATGTCATATGATGACAGATGATTGACTGGTGGGTGGCCTTGCTCACCTGTCAAAGTTGCTTGTGGGTGGGCCAGTAGAGGGTCCGGTTTGTCAGCTGCATCAAGTTTCCCTGAAGCTTCAGCTGTTGGAGAATGCAGCACCCCTGATGTTGACAAGTGATAAACAGGCCAATTCTTCATCAGCTTTACTGGCTACCTATTGGCTTCTAGGAACAATTTAAATTGCTGGTGTTGACCTTTTAGAGCAGGCTTCCTCAAACTTGGCCCTCCAGATGTTTTGAGACTACAATTCCCATCATCCCTGACCACTGGTCCTGCTAGCTAGGGATCATGGGAGTTGTAGGCTAAAAAACATCTGGAGGGCCGAGTTTGAGGAAGCCTGTTTTAAAGCCACCACTGTGGGGGTGAGGAGTTGCAGTGGTAGAGATATATTAGGTAGTTCTTTGTGGCCTTCTTTTTTAGTCCCTGTGTGGAATGATTGGTAGAAATAGAATGGTGTATTTTTTATTGTTTCTACTTGTTGTTCCATTGTTCTACTATTCAAATAACATTTGAATGTTTAAGTGGCTTTATCAGATATTTTATGTTCCTTTGGAAAACACTGGATTTTGTTAGGTGGCTGACAAGTCTATAAAACAAATAGAAAAGGTAAAGGTACCCCTGACCATTACGACTCTGGGGTTGCGGCGCTCATCTCGCTCTATAGGCCGAGGGAGCCGGCGTTTGTCCACAGACAGTTTCCGGGTCATGTGACCAGCATGACTAAGCCGCTTCTGGTGAACCAGAGCAGCTCACAGAAACGCTGTTTACCTTCCTGCTGGAGCCGTACCTATTTATCTACTTGCACTTGGACGTGCTTTCGAACTGCCAGGTGGGCAGGAGCTGGGACTGAACAACGGGAGCTCACCCTGGCGCGGGGATTTGAACCACCAACCTTCTGATCAGCGAGCCCTAGGCTCTGTGGTTTAGACCACAGCACCACCCATGTGCCTTAAAACAAATAAAACTAAACTACAAATTAGAAACTGTATTTCTAAATATATGGAAAAAGCCTACCAGCAGTTGGGCTATTAAACATGACATACTAGATTACTTTCAGAGCCTTAACACTGTTGGCAGTATGTGTCGTCACAGGCCTCTAGTATGAGTACTAGAATGTTTCTTTGTCTTCCTGCGGGCAAGCTTTTACTTGGAATCTATTACCAAAGGTAACTTATAAATATATTCCTATTTTAAAATATAATGTGTTTGTCATACTGAATTTATAGCCAGTATATACTTGGCTATATATCAAAGGAGCCACACCCTGGGAACGGCTTCAACTGGCTGGCTAAACCAGGTGAGGGTAGCTGATGGGTCTCAAACCCTTGGTGAATTAGGGACTTCTGCATGCAAAGATAGGCTCTGGCAGATTGAGCAGATGAGACCAATAGTGGGTCCAACAGTCAAGAAGGCGATTTCTGCACATGCTGTAGGGAAATGAGGGGCATATGGGGCTTGTCAACCTGGGAAGGATAACAGTTGCTTGCAGGATATCTTTGGGAGAAGAAAAAGCTAATGAATAAACCCTGCAGAAATCTGGAGTGGAGTCCCTAAAGCGGTTGGATGGCGTCTTGTATGCCCCCTTCTGGCAACTCCTGCAGCCAAGCTGGTATTAAACATATTGTTCTGCTTTCCTTTGGACCACATCAGCCAGGCTGAGAGGGGGGAAGCCCAGCACCTCCATACACAGTGCCCAGGCTTGTGCCCCAAAGAGGTTACTTCAGTGCTGCTAATGCAGGGTTTGACTTCACCTCTGGAGGTGCACTCCATTGTCTCAAGACAGCCGGATGCCGACAAAAATAGCAAAAACCTGTCATAATCTCCAGTTCTGTTTGAAAGTTATTTGTTGTTTATCCACTATTTCACTAAGGGGTTCAAGGATACATGATCCCTTCCCACCTTTTTTAATCCTTATGTCTCCTCAATACTAGTGGAGCACCCTCTGTCATTACAGTGGTACCTCTGGATACAAACGGGATCTGTTCTGGAGCCCCGTTTGCATCCTGAAGTAAACGCAACCCGCGTCTGCGCGTTCGCGGGTTGTGATTCGCCGCTTCCGCGCATACGCGTGACGTCATTTTGACCGTCTGCGCGAGTGGCGAAACCCGGAAGTAATCCGTTCCGTTACTTCCGGGTCCTCGCAGAGCGCAACCCGAAAGCGCTCAACCTGAAGCAACTTCAACCCGAGGTATGACTGTATATCACAATAACTCAGAATTATAAAAGATTATGGTTATTTTCCATAATCCCTATCTTGCGTAAAAAGGTAAAGGTACCCCTGCCCGTACGGGCCAGTCTTGACAGACTCTGGGGTTGTGCGCTCATCTCACTCTATAGGCCGGGAGCCAGCGCTGTCCACAGACACTTCCGGGTCACGTGGCCAGCGTGATGAAGCTGCTCTGGCGAGCCAGAGCCGCACACAGAAACGCCGTTTACCTTCCCGCTAGTAAGCGGTCCCTATTTATCTACTTGCACCCGGGGGTGCTCTCGAACTGCTAGGTTGGCAGGCGCTGGGACCGAGCAACGGGAGCGCACCCCACCGCGGGGATTCGAACCACCAACCATGCGATCGGCAAGTCCTAGGCGCTGAGGTTTAACCCACAGCGCCACCCGCGTCCCTCTTATTTTGCGTACTTTATTGTAAAACTTGCGTTTTTGTTGTACAAAAATTTGGGGCAAGCAGTGTGATGTCTGCAGAAAGAGGTTCAAATGAAATATAGAACAGGAGCATCACTCTGGACTGTGATGCAGAAATATAGTCATGAATGACTTCTTAAGAACACTACAATGTTTTGAGAAAAAGTTGCCAATTTATTTCCGAATCTAGATCTGATGAAACACCCTTAAAAAGAAAACGAAAGGAATCTGGTATGAACTGCAGAGTTCTGCCGTTGCAGGAATTGTAGTAAATGGCATATCCTACTTGAACTGTATAGTCAAGAGATTTAACTGGAAGAACTAATACGTGTTTTTTCATAAATGTATTCGGTGGAATTTTCCATGTAGCTACTTATTTACTTTCTGATTTGGACGTTTTCCTGAAATAAGTTATGCATCTAGTAATCCAAAACGATTGTAATATTATTTTAACTTTCACTTCTAGCATTCATAAAGAATTTTTGAAATCCTTAAGCCAATTAAAATATGTAAAAATATTTTCCCAGTAGACTTATGTAGCTTCATAGATGTTATCATGGATTTAGTACTTCAAAATAAATTTTAATTACTTTATGTTCAAATATGAACACTATGGTTGTACTTTTAGGTGTATTGAAATAAGTGGTTCCTGTTAGCCTTGGGGCTGGTGATGGTGTCTTTGGGAGATTTAGAGCATGTAACTAATCAAGAGAATTCCTTTTTTCAGGTTACATTTTATGCCTTCTTTTTTATTTAGATAACGGATCTTTCATTACCAAACTATCTGATGGCTTCTTCCATTGGATTGCTTCCAACTCAACTCTTAAACTCCTATCTGGGCACCACCTTGCGCACTATGGAGGATGTCATCGCAGAACAAAGTGTTAGTGGCTACTTCATTTTTAGTTTACAGGTAAGCTATTTTTTAGCCCTTACTCAAAAAATTCATTTTTATAGCCTTTTGTCTCATTGCGGTATGTGTTTAATGAAAAGTAAGTCCTACTGTGTTAAATGGTATTCACTCCCAGGTAATCTGCATGGTTAACGTTGGCTTGGATTGTAAGGCTCCTTTTATTTATATTATACTGTAGTGCAGTTCTCTTTGAAAGCCATCCAAGTTGGTGGCCCATCACACTGTCTTGTGGGGGCGAGTTTTGTAGTTTGAGTATACAGTAGAATCTCTACTTACAACCACCTCCACTTGCGGACGTTCCAAGTTGCGACTGCCGCAAACCCGGAAGTAACTGGTGGGTTTGCTGCCGTATGTTCGTGCATGCACAGGAGCAGGCAATCGCCACCCGCGCCTGCGCACAACGGCGCCTCTCTCAGCGACCCGTTTCGCCATAAGGACGGGCCTCCAGAACGGATTGTGGTCGTGAGTAGAGGTTCCACTGTATGTTGTGTGAAGAAGTACTTTTATTTTGTCTGTCCTGATTCTCTCCGCATTTAGCTTCATTGAATAGCCTCGGGTCATATGATATGAGAGGAGGAGAAAAACTCCTTCCCTCCACTTTCTCTGCACTGCACATATGTGAACGTGACATTCTTTTTAACGCAGTCGCTGCTAGTGTGACCTATAAAGCCTATTTAAAAGTTCACCTTTCTCCCACACTTTGAATCTTTCCCTTGTGCTTATTACTGCTGTTGAAAATATTTTTTAAAAGCACTATCACTTCTGTTTCATTCACAGATTGTAATAAGTATAGGCCTCATGTTTTATGTTGTCCACCGGGCTCAAGTGGAATTGAATGCAGCCATAGTCGCATGTGAAATGGAAATGAAGACATCACTTGTTAAAAGCAGTCTACCAAGCAACAGCAACTCCTCCTTTTGCAGCAAGAGGACGCTTGCATTTTCTGGAGGAGGAATCAACATTGTATGAGTCCCTCCCCCCTCCTTCTGAAGTATTATATTAACTTTCTTTGTGAATCTGGACAACCTAACATATTGCCTAGACATCTCTAAAAGACTTAAATCCTGAACAGTGGAGGATCTCAAACAACCTTGGTGGTTTTTAGATTGCAAAATGGGCGGCTTTTTGTAAGGTGGCTTAAGTGACTGTAAATATAGATGTAAGTCTGGCTGCACCTTTCGTCATTATTATACGTGTCATGGCCTGTAGTCTGCACTTTAGGTTTGTTTTGTGTTTCTTTTTTCAAACGGAGAAAAAATACCCTTGAAGCAAATATTTTTTTCCTTTCTGCTTAGCGTTATTTATAAGGCTGACTAATAATCTACAGTAGATCTTCAATGCTGGCGAATGAGTGTAAAGTATGCAACTCCATGTACAGTACTCTTGAATGTGCTTAGCTTTCAAAGTATTTCCAGAAAGCAGTATGTTCTTCTCTCACGAGCAAGAGGGCAATCCAGCAAAGGGAAGGTTCTGCTTCTTAGGGCTGGGAAGGCAAAACTCTAGTACTTTCTGAAAAGGACAGCTCTCTCCCTCCCAGTATCCAGTCATTTCCTGTCTGCGACAGGTCACAGGGTTTCTCCACAGTTCTTTTGGGGACCTGCTAAAAAAGGAAAGTGCGGGAGCATTTTTGCTATTTGGGGACTATTTGGCTCCCTTACCTTGCTTTTTTTTTTAATTTCTTGTGGGGCCAGGGGGAGAACACAGTATATAAATATTTGGTTGAATGTATTTTTGTAAGCCACTGAAATATTGTGGAGCCATTCATAATTTTTCACGTAAGTTTAAATCCTACATTGTGGGACTGAAGTGCTCTTATATAACGTTTTGAGTTACACTGTGTAATATGCAAAGTAAAAGAGAAACTACAAAGAACTTAATATGATTGTGGCCAATAGCAGTCTGAGGGAGAACTTGCAGGTGAAATACAAGTCTTTGACCTGGTTTTGTCATCCTCGTTAGTGACGAAAAGGGCTCTTCCATTACAAGCGCATTTCTAGCTAGCTAGAGTTTGGGGGGGGGGTGTAAATCGGCTTCGCTTTGTACTGAGCACCATAAGACTTGCAAAGCAGGAGCAACTAAATCTCTCTGAAAATACTATGGTACTAAACAAATAACGTGGCCTTTATTTTATGGGGAAGACCTTTTGGTTTTTCTTTAATAAAAGCTTTAAAAATCAACACAGTTCCTCCCTAATACTTTCCTCCGGTCATCAAACGATGCTCCTCTGGTATGTTTTGTGCAGTTCATTGGTACTTGTACCAGTGAAATGCTGTGAAGATTGCATGTGCCCCTTCTTCTTCTTTGCATGTGTGAAACATTTGCAAAAATTAGGAAAAACAGGTTTTCCATCTTTAAAAAAAAAAATGACTAGAAAAGGGCAGAAATGTCTTTCAAGGCTCAGGAATCCGTAAATGTTTTTAAAAGAATATATTTCATATGATATGATGGACTCTCCACAGAAGGATCGCCAAGTCTCTTCTTCGTGGGTTTGAACAGACTGAAATAATCTTGTGTGTGTCAGTTCCATAATTCTTTACAGATACATATTTGCATACTCTCAAAAATGTTTCATAGAAGTTGGAACCAGCACAAAACTACTTTGAACTCAAATGACCTTATTTTTTTTTGTCTTAATTAGTTTCTTGTCAACAATAAAGTACAATTTGGGCTGTTACAATTTTGTGTTAACTTATTGCCCCTCCCTTTCTTTTTTGTATGTGTGCCACCTGGATGCAATAAGTTTTGGGTTGTTGTTTTTTTGCCAGTTATGTGTAAACTACCATCTGTAGAAAACAAGGGCCACAGTCTAAAACCATATGTCCATTAGCTTTTGTGTTTGGTTGTGGCAAATTGCTTTCAGGGTTATAGTTAGTCCGGAATAGTTTGCTATTGAGAATATACCATACTTTTTTTTGGTACAGTAATTGCACAGTTCCAATATGTCCCCAGTCACCTTGAAATGGTGGTCATACATCTTAGCAACATTTCCTTTCTTGAATCCATTGACATTTCTGGAACTACTTGCAAGCAACTGTTTGGGGGGGGGATTTAGCGTTATTCTCCTACACCTGCATTAGTTCGTCCCTTTTGAAAACTAACAGTTCGGTTACTATTTAAGGGCACTGTTTGACAGTGAAAGATTGCTGATCCCTTTGTTACCAAGGGTTTTTATTTGAAAAGTAACTCCAGTAAGCAAAGTAACCTGGATGTCATCCCACTTAAGACTTTACCAATACATGTATTTTGTGGAGTCCTTTGATGACAACAATAAAGAAGACTTTGCAAAGCTGCATTCTCAAGTGCTTTTAGTTCCATTGTGTTTTGCAACCAAATTAACTTCACTGTGTAAACATTTTAAAACAATAATCTCCTTAAAGTTTCTGCTTTTGGCGTGATAACTTGTGTACAAATTAATAGAAAATATGCATAAAAGTGTTTTTTTTTCTTTTTGTATCTTGCCAATCATTTTATACAATAAATTCACTCTTTATTCTGCTTGTGTAGATGTGAGCTTTAAGTCTTCTACTGTAGCGTGTGGCTTGGCTCATTTGATAGAGCCACCTATGTACTGAACTGTTACTTTGAAGCAGGCAGCCATCACTGGTAGGAGGCCTCTTGTCTGTTCCTGCTCAATGTCGGCATTGGCTCCCTTTGTATGTTAGTACATGGAGGATCTTATATAGACTTAGAACACAGGAAGGTCTTTCTAGTCAAGCATCCTGTTCTTTTGTGGCCAACCGTATGCCTATCAGAAGTCCATAAGCAGGGCTGCTTAAAATAGAGGCGAAAACTTGGCATGAATACCACTATTTTAACTTAGCCTTCTCATCAAAATGATTGTTTTTTGTGTTTTTTTTTTCAGATGACCCATTCTTTACTTCTGTTTCTTTATTTTACTTCAATGTTACTCTTGTGTTTTTTGCATCCTGCTCTGTTTTAATGGCCGCATCAAAATTTTGCGTGTTATCCAAATACTTTCCATGCACGTTAAGAAAAAAATTGTGTGATGTCTGGAATTTCTGGAATGTTATAAACCTTTTTGCATCAAGCCAGTTGCTTTCTTGGAATATTTTAACATCTCTTTCATGCCAAGTCTTATAATCTCATCAAGACCTGGCGTGTGTGTTGGGGTAGGGGCGTCGGTGCAGTTGAGTGAGAGAATGGGCGTGTTCTCAGTACATGTATGTGCCCCCCCCGTCCCATGTGACAGTGAGGGAGAAATTCCCCAGCCCTGTCCTAAAGCCAAATAAGCCTTGTGGAAAATACCTAGGGGCTTGACAGAACCACTGGCACTAACCTGTATTGTCACACATAAAGCAGGGGCCTGGTCTGTGTCAGTTCTAAAATTGTGAATGTGTTTTACATATGATGCACCGAACGTGACTTTTGTCATTGGAGCACAAAGCATCTCCTAAGATCAAGCCTTTGCAGATGTTTTCAGTGCAGACATTGCAGGCTAAAAATATCGTCAGATGTTTTTTAAACAGTATAGTGTGCAATAGACAGCTGTTTTGCTTGTAGCATGGATCTTCAGACTGTCCAGTTCTAAAGAGATCGGATCGATTATGATAAGTACCTGAAGATTATGAAGTTCATTCTTGCCGTTTCCTGTAAAACTGAAATACTTCTGAGGACAGCAATGTTACTTGTTTCCATATCTCATTTTAAGCAGCTGATTCAGCATTACTGTACCTCGCAACATGATGTGCGAAGGCTAGAAAAATTACTGAACACCCCCTCCCCCATTTTTTGCTTGAAGCCTTTTTGGTTTTTTCCTGAAAAATGAAAAAAAAATGGATTATGAAATATTTTCTTTTAGAATGGTGAATGAAATATTTAAGGTAGGAAGGCAAGGTGTATGGAAAACAAGAGGAGACATACTTTTCAGTATAAATAATAATTTGTTTTACCATAATGTTGCTGGTTTCTGTTTTTGTTTTTGTCATAAACCAGCAAAACCAAAGAGTTGCTAGGCTCCTTATACAGTAGTTCAACAACTTGTAGCTCCATTTGTGACAACAACTTTAAAGGCAATTCGCAATTATTGTCTGAACTACTTTTAGATATGATAATTCTGTGTTGAACCGAGGTATACATAATGCATTTTCCTGAAGTAACAAACCACTCTGAGAATTTTTCTTTATTTGCAATTGAGTGGCTAATGAAATTTTATGAAATAAATAAATTGACTTTCAATATGTAAAGACTGTGAAAAAATGTTTGCACCCCCCATTTTTCTGAAGCTTTCTTTTCCCCCCAGAAATTTTACATGTCTACTCCCAGGCCAACATATTATTTTTCTGTATAAAGGAGATCTGTGGCATGCAGTTTCTGAGCTGTTTGAATTCTGCATTGTTAATATCTAGAGCTATACTGACAGTGGCGGATTTAGAAAATGAGAAGCAGAGAGTGAAAGACTTGGCTGGGAAAACTTGCATGGGAGGCTGCTCTTGATCTTTCAGTCTGAAGACAGCCAGCAAGACTCTGAATACCTGATGTGTCTCTGCTCTATTGATCTATTTTGCATAGCTCACCTAAAGGACGGCCACAAAATCTTTCAGGCACAGAGGGAATTGCTGAATTACTGCCTATAAACCTACCGGAGTTCTTTCCTTTCAAACCACACTCAATTTCGGCTCTCACTACTCTGTAAATTAGGTAGCTATACCGATTTCCCCCCCGTAATCTTCCAATTATAAGTTAATATCCTGTCCTTGATTTGGGGAATTTATCGGGAATACAAAAATTAGCTTTCTTGTGGATAACTCCACAAATGAGTTCCTATCACCACACAGGCGCTAGACAGACATACAAGAGGAGTTGTACTTGAATGCCTGAAGGAGCTTTCTTGGGGTCAGTAAGAATTAGCTGCTACTGTTGGCTGGGGTGATAGCTCCATCACCCCACCCTCCTGCGAGGCTAGCAGCCAACCTATTTGCTTAGCTGGGGGTGCAGAGAGGAGAGAGTTATGAAGTGTTTATATGCAGTTCAAACAACAAGATAGATGGCGTGGTCAATGACCCAGTATGGTGTGTCGTGTGTGGGCACGCTGCATTTGCTCTCATCCTTGGGTTTTATTTTCACTGACTTTTGTCAAATGCCTTGAATGAAAAGGCCCTAATAATCACAGAACTTGAAATTTAGTACCATTTACCAGTGTTGCCCAGGGCAATTACCGTATTTTTTGCTCTATAAGACTTTTTCCCTCCTAAAAAGTAAGGGGAAATGTGTGTGCGTCTTATGGAGCGAAAGCAGGCTGGGCAGCTATCCCAGAAGCCAGAACAGCAAGAGGGATTGCTGCTTTCACTGCGCAGCGATCCCTCTTGCTGTTCTGGCTTCTGAGATTCAGAATTTTTTTTTCTTGTTTTCCTCCTCCAAAAACTAGGTGCGTCTTGTGGTCTGGTGCGTCTTATAGAGCGAAAAATACGGTATTAACCCTCTCAGAAGGGCTTCTGAATGTAGAAAGTTTTAGCGACTGTTTCTCTCTCACGCTGTTCTGTGTGATCTCTGTGCAGTCATATGCCTTGGAGAGCAGCATTTCAGAAACTTCAAAAGCTCAGAAAAGCCTGCAGCCTCTGCCCCTGAGAAGGGGAGCTCTATGAAAACTCTGGATCTATATGTGGCTCAAGGCCTTCTCATTTTCTTTTCCATCAACGCCTGTATAGCATGATAGGAAACTTCCTTTAGAGCTTCAGAATATTTCTCGTAATCCTTGAAAGACTTTTTCACCTTGGCTTTAATCTGTTTTCATCTCCACTGAAGAAAAAAACTTCATCTTTAAACCAACCAACCAAAAGGATATAGGCGAAATGAGACACAAAGCATTTCCTTTCATTATTTTTTTGGGGAAAATCCTTCACTATTATCTTTTTTTTTTTTTAACGGGAAATTTCTGCAGATGCTATGTTTGATGTGTGGAGAAGGTTTTCTGTGCCTGACAGATATGACTGATGTTTTCCTGCACCCCACAGGTTCATATCATCAGTTGCCACACACACTGTTTGAGCTTCCTCGAGCAAGAATGTCAAGACTAGGCCATGTGTGGCTCTCTCTGGATTTGGGCATGAAATTTTGAGTCGATACCTTCCTCTGTACTGATGCCCCTGTCCAATGGTGCTCTTGTAGTAGCCTTCAAGGGCACTGGCACTTTCTGGCCTCATCTGATTTTGACCATGACCACCTGCCACAGGAGACTGGGGAATGCATCAAAATGCCACAGTGGCCTTGGTGGTGCCTAGAACGCTGCCAGTATTTTATGGGTTTAATCTTTCTATTCCCACAACATTGCTAGAGGGGATTAAGTCAACATGCAATTCCTTCAGGAAACTGACCTGGACAAGCCCTGAATCTGTTTGAGGCGGCCCCATTTCAGTTCTTGATTCAGGATTCATCTAAATCTTTTCCACACACTTAACATATGTACCTATATGTGCACACACTTTCAATGATTTGTGTAGCAAGTGGTCAAACAGTTTGCTTTCAGGTGTATATTAATAGGAATTGCCTGTCTGCTATGCGTATCCTGCCACGATATTGGAGTTGGGTAGTCATGCTGGAGGTACTGTCAATATAATCTCTTCATTGCATTGGTTGACCTTCCTGGAAGATTTTTTTGTGGGTTGAACCTTGTTCAGATCAGTCCTCCAAGTTCATTTAAGAATTCAAAGGTCTCCTTTGAGCCTTCACATCCTGGGTATCTTGACAACAAAGTCAAATCATAGAATTGTAGAGCCCCCTGAAATGCAGGAATCTTGCCCAACGTGGAGCTCGAACCCACAACCCTGAGGTTAAGAGTCTTATGCTCTACCAACTGAGCTACCAGTGACTAAAACCAGACATTGCAAACACTCTTTAAAGGGGTCCCATTGCTTGATTTGCACAATGGTGCTATGGGTTCCTCCCATGCAGCTTGTGCCAAATGAGAGGAAAACTTGCCTGTAAAGGTACCCCTGCCCGTACGGGCCAGTCTTGCCAGACTCTGGGGTTGTGCGCTCATCTCACTCAAGAGGCCGGGGGCCAGCGCTGTCCGGAGACACTTCCGGGTCACGTGGCCAGCGTGACAAGCTGCATCTGGCGAGCCAGAGCCGCACACGGAACGCCGTTTACCTTCCCGCTAGTAAGCGGTCCCTATTTATCTACTTGCACTTAAGGGTGCTTTCGAACTGCTAGGTTGGCAGGCGCTGGGACCGAGCAACGGGAGTGCACCCCGCTACGGGGATTCGAACCGCCGACCTTTCGATCGGCAAGTCCTAGGCACTGAGGCTTTTACCCACAGCGCCACCCGCGTCCAAATTGGTCATTTTACCCACAGCGCCACCCACCTCCAAATTGGTCATTTTGCTAATCTCCCATATACGTGGCTGAGCAGAGATTACAAAGAAGAAAGGCAGGTTGCTTATCTGTTGGTTTTTGTTGTTCCAAAGGGCCATCTGTGTAGTCAACACTTCCTTGTTGCTGGCCTACCTTTTGATTTGGTCTTGTGTACAAATAACCAGATAGAGATCCTTGGAGCCAACCTTGAGCCATGCAATGACTTGGATGAAGGCCCTCCTAGCTCTAGTTTCCAAAACGCTGTTCCGTGACTGCACAGATGTTCGCTCAGCTCAGAGAACAACAGCTACACCTCAGGAGCATGCCATTCCGTGTAGCTCTGCTATTATGGGATGCACTCCCTGCTGAAAGATGAGACTCCTGTTCTGTATTGGCATTCTGCTGGCTTTTGAAGATGCATCTGTTTACACAAGTACTTCCTTGAGCTCTCGGCCTGAGTCTCCTGCTTTAATAGCTGTATTGTTTTAATGGGATTTGTTTTCTTGTGTATTTTTTTTATTATCATTGATGTTTAGATTTTAATGTTTGCATAGCTGGTTTTTATACCACTTAGAAGTTTATTTTGGCACCAAGTGGCATATAAATAAATGATTGGATGCGAGAGCCCTCCTTTGAAAGTTTACTTTGTAAAGTATGCCAATTGCTGAAAGTAATCAGGGCCTCTTAGGCTAAAAAGCCTCTACCTTTGGGACTCATTAGGAAGCTCCTGTTAATAAA